TATTTGTTATATACCCCTTAATCTCTTCCTTCAGTAATCCTTATTTGTAATATACCCTTAATCTCTTCCTTCAGTAATCCTTATTTGTAATATACCCCCTTAATCTCTTCCTTCAGTAATCCTTATTTGTAATATACCCCCTTAATCTCTTCCTTCAGTAATCCTTATTTGTAATATACCCTTAATCTCTTCCTTCAGTAATCCTTATTTGTAATATACCCTTAATCTCTTCCTTCGGTAATCCTTATTTGTAATATACCCCCTTAATATCTTCCTTCAGTAATCCTTATTTGTAATATACCCTTAATCTCTTCCAGCACTAATCCTTATTTGTAATATACTCTTTAATCTCTTACAGCAGTAATCCTTATTTGTTATATACACCTTAATCTCTTCCTTCAGTAATCCTTATTTGTAATATACCCTTTAATCTCTTACAGCAGTAATCCTTATTTGTTATATACACCTTAATCTCTTCCTTCAGTAATCCTTATTTGTAATATACCCATAATCTCTTCCAGCAGTAATCCTTATTTGTAATATACCCTTAATCTCTTCCTTCAGTAATCCTTATTTGTAATACCCTCTAATCTCTTCCTTCAGTAATCCTTATTTGTAATATACCCCTTAATCTCTTCCAGCAGTAGTCCTTATTTGTAATATACCCTTTAATCTCTTCCAGCAGTAATCCTTATTTGTAATATACTCTTTAATCTCTTCCAGCAGTAATCCTTATTTGTAATATACCCTTTAATCTCTTCCAGCAGTAGTCCTTATTTGTAATATACCCTTTAATCTCTTCCTTCAGTAATCCTTATTTGTTATATACACCTTAATCTCTTCCTTCAGTAATCCTTATTTGTAATATCCCCTTTACCTTTCATTCACTTCTCTCTGTCACTAATCACTCATTTCTATACTGCACTAACCCTTCTTCTCATCCATTCCTGCATTAACCTTTCTTGTCACTTACTACAGCTTAAAAAAAGTAACTTTTCTGTTTGTAAAATAACCCTTACCTACTGATTTTATCCTGCAGCCGAGTGTCAACAAATGAAAACTTCTGACTAACTTAGTTTTAAATTTATCTCTGAAGGTTTATTAGTTTTACTACAAATGAATAAACCTGTCAGTAAAAAATGTTACTTTCGGACTAATGGTAATGGTAGCTCAGCTCTTTCCTTGTAATCAGTTTTCTTCTCAGACGTCTAGTTTGATAAGTTCCATCACAATTTTGTTCGTTAAGCACGTGGTGGTATTAGTTACTTACCTTAACAACAGGAAACTACGGCCTGCTTGTTCCTTCCTTGTTCGTCTGTTCCACCAGCCCTCTGTTTCTGATAATTAATTATAAGAACAGCAATTAAGTTGAAATAACAGTGTTATACAAGTAACGAAAGAAGAGCTGACTAGATTAACGAAAATAACAGTGTTATACAAGTAACGGAAGAAGAGATGACTAGATTAACGAAAATAACAGTGTTATACAAGTAACGGAAGAAGAGATGACTAGATTAACGAAAATAACAGTGTTATACAAGTAACGGAAGAAGAGCTGACTAGATTAACGAACATAACAGTGTTATACAAGTAACGGAAGAAGAGCTGACTAGATTAACGAACATAACATCGAAGTGTCTGCGTGGCTGTAAAGAAGGATACACCTGATGTAAAGTAGGAATTAAATAAGTCGATAGATTAACAAACCAAAAATATTGCTAGCGAAAATTGTACGAGGCTTATCCGCCATGCGGGCTGGCTATCCAATCTAAGTAAATATTGTAAGAGGCTTATCCGCCATGCGGGCTGGTTATCCAATCTAAGTAAATAAAACAATTCCCTATTTAACTTAGAAAATAATGCGACTAGAACACCTGAAATCAAAGGTGTACAAGAATGAAATTAAATTATTTGTCAACGATTATAAAACTGACTCGTGAAGTTTTAATAGATTAACGTTGTTACATCTTTAGAGATTTTATAACTCGTACTTTGTCCTGCGAATATCCTTTCACCCAAAGTAATATTTTCATTTTATAAGCACTGAATTGTTATTCTTTTAATTTACAGACGATCCCTATTATAGTGGATTCCGAGCTCGTGTGCCCAATTACGCCAAACGTGAACAAGATTCCGTGAAAAAGACCCATAGCGCTGGATACATAAGTCTTCTACGTTCCCAAGAACGGGCATCGTATACATCAACACTTGGTAAGTAAGGATGAGGATTCCAATTGTTTACGAGTGTTTCTGTTATTTTTTTGGGGTAATATCGTTTACGAGTGTCAATGATGTTTTTTGGGTAATATCGTTTACGAGGGTCAATGGTGTGTTTTTTGGATAATATCGTTTACGAGGGTCAATGGTGTGTTTTTTGGATAATATCGTTTACGAGGTGTCACTGGTGTGTTTTTTGGATAATATCGTTTACGAGTGTCACTGGTGTTTTTTGGATAATATCGTTTACGGGTGTCACTGGTGTTTTTTGGATAATATCGTTTACGAGTGTCACTGGTGTTTTTTGGTAATATCGTTTACGAGTGTCACTGGTGTTTTTTGGGTAATATCGTTTACGTGTGTCACTTTTTTGGGGGTAGTATTGTTTACGTGTGTCACTTTTTTGGGGGGAGTAGTATTGTTTACGAGTGTCACTGGTGTTTTTTGGGTAGTATTGTTTACGTGTGTCACTTTTTTGGGGGTA